AGGGAGGTTGGGCAACAGCTACAGGTCAGACCCGGACATCAAGAACCCAGATCTCACGCAGGAGGATGGAAAAGGGGGCTGGAGGTGGAGGCCACCCAGGAGAACTGATTCGTTTCGTTCTCGTGTCCTCTGCGAGCACTGGTTTCTCCTGTAACCAAGAAACCACCTGTCTTCAGGGGAAGGGAGATGAAAGGCTGGTGGCCATGGTGGCTGCCTCCTGGGCAGCCCGCGGGGAGGGCTGTGAAACACAAGCCCCTCTGTCCACCTGACCCAGCCGGGCAGGACACTGATGCTCCAGCCCAGAGCAGGTTCCACGTGGGGCCAGCACCCCACCAGCATCCCCAGCCCTCCATGGGGGGGCTTGTCCCAGCCCCTCCGGCTTTCACTGATGTGGGAAGCTCAAGCAGATGCCGCTGCTGCAGCATATCGGCCGAGAGTCTGCTGTGCCCCGATCCACTGGTCACAGCTCCAAACAAGATGCAAGAGCCTTGAGGCTACTTGGCTGTCATTAAAATGGTGTGGATGGAAGGAGAAGTCTAATTGACTGAACAACAGCCTGTGCTGTGTAATTAAACTAATTGTGGTTCTACCTGCGTGGGTCAGAAGTGATTTGGATGGCTGTTAGAGCACTGACAAAAGAAGAGGTGGGGAGGTGTGAAAGTATTTCTTACACGCGTTTCCGCAGGTAATTTTGCTGTTTCATTTCAGGCAATTTTGCGCCCTTGAAATTTTTGGTTTCTGTCAAATTTGAGGAGACTGTTAATATTTCACACTGAAGCAGGGGAAAGCAAAAAGGTCACTGTTGTTAGCAGTTTCAGGTGGCAGCGTTTCAAGTGGAGGTAATACTTTTTCAGGGCTAATTTCTAACTTGAAGTGAAATTCCTCAAAAAAAAAGGAGGGGAAGGACTGTTTTGCAGAATGCATTTCAGCCTGGCGTTGCGCCCGCTGGGGACCACACAATTGTTTTTATTGGCTTGAGCAGGAGAAGACCAGCCCTTCTGCACGACTCGGTGAAACTCAGGTCACTACTGCACTGCCAGGGACTTATGACTCTATCTTTTAGTGCTTGTTTTGAAAGTCTTGGCTTCAGAATATGATGTGTTTAGAAGAAGCCGAATGAGAAACCTCCTACGGTGTCATGTTCAAACTCTTTGACCTTGTTTTCAAGTCCTCGCAAAGCAGAGCCCATCTCCAGCTTGTAGCTCAGCTCCTATTGATTATCATTTTGAGTCCTTCGGGCGTTTTGCCGTGCCCAAAGCGCCGTGTGCTTTTCAGAACAAATAATGTGACATGACAGAGAGCTGCTGAACTGACTCTGCTCTCCCTAGGCTGTCAGCACAGGGCAGAGCCCCACGCTCACGCTGGAGGAGACCCGTGCGGATGAGCGGAGGGGCTGGTGCATTTTGTCCCAGTAGGAGCACTTGTCCAGCGTGTGAGGTGATGTCTAAACATAGGAGTCAAACACTCAGCCTGGAGCAACCGATGCCTGTGTTTTTCCTGGTCAGAGCTACGCGTCCGAGGAAGGACATGGCGCGGCCAGGCTGCGGGACATGTGTGAGCCCTTCTGCCCTGATCATCCATCGCTGTAGGAGACAAGACAGTGGGTGGGATTAACCTTCAATGGGTTCTCTTGACTTCTTCTGTTTCTTGACTGTGGAGAAACCTCTATAAATCTAGTTTGTTCTTTCTGAGCTGGAGATGGAGGGCCTCACTTCTCTGGTGAGAAGAAACTGCCAATATGGTCCTTTATCACTGCTGCTCCTCTGTCATCCTACCCCAAGTTTATGAAATCTGAGGTGTGATCATCTAGCTGCAGTATGACTCCAGAACTGTGGCAGTAAGAACAGGGGAAAGAGCACAGGGAGAGCAGTGTATATTCGTACTTTTTTAAGATAGCAGCTTACATACTGTTTTTTGTCTCAGAAAAAAAGTGAATCAAAATGGCTTCTGCTGAGCCTAATTTGATATGTCTCCAGGCATAGCTAATTATCCTGACTTAGCCCAGCTCTGAATTCTTCCCAGGGGTTTTGGTGCTATTTCTTCTGTTTTGATTTATAAATTCTCTTTATTTTACTTTCCTCCTACACGTTCTGTACCATCTTTCTGCTCCCTGCCTTACTGAGGTGCCAGGAGCTGGTATAGCAGTGCTATCACAAGGTGTAGGACAGAAAGCGGATTTGTTAATCAAAGCCTTTGCTTTAGGCGTCCAGCAATACTTTCTCCTGGCGTCTGCCTCATGGGCTATTTGAAACAGCCTCTTCTCCCCAGGAGGCTTTTTTTGTGCTGCCGCTTGGTTCTGGGCTTACCTGCAACCATCCCTGGGCTAGAGGAGTTGTGAGACTCGGGGCTGGCTCCATACCTCAGAGGACTTTGGTTACAGCCGTCATCCCGCAGCAAGGAGTTTTCTGGCTTCTCCACTGATGTACCAGAAAGAATCCTGGAACTTTTCAGGTTCAGCCTTTCCTTTCACAGTTGACACCATTTTTCTAACCTCAGTGACAAATTCTGTGGGGGAAGGAATCCATCTGTTGTAATCATGGGGTGTCAATAGTAGCAAGCAGGATATGATGCTGCCATTGAACCTGGGCTTGGGAGACCATCTCTGTGCGGGAGGTTTTAGAAATGCTAGTCCCCCAGGCATCCCATGGGGAAAATGGGCACTGTTTGCTCAGGAGACAAGACTGCCAAGAGTAAGCAGCTCAAGCAAGGCCAGCTTTAACTTCTGAAGTGTGCCACCTTTTCATAGCATTGCTTTTTTTTTTTAACGTGTGCATCTAGGAATGTTATTGTCAGCAGACTTCTTAGGCAGACTGTAGCACTGGTCACCCTTATGGCCCCTAGTAGAGGCTTAAATTCGACTCTGTGTAAAACGGGCTGAGAAATGGGTGAGAGCCAACGCCGTGCCAGTCCCAGACTTTGTCTGCTGCGCTGGCTGAGGGCAGATGCTGAGGGGAGAGGATGAAACCAGGAAAATTAGGGAGATTCTTCTTTGGAAGAGCCTCTCAACCTCCAACAACTTGCAGCTCAGGGATTTCCTGAACCACAGTGGCAGCTCCTGGCGGATTTTCCTTCCATTATTTTTCCTCTTTCTTTGCTTTTTGAAGTCATATAAACTCTTCGCATCCAGCATGCTCTGGAGTGGGGAGTCTCACTCTGTAGCTGTGCATTCTGTGGAGTATCACCATTTGCTCTCTTTGAACTTACCACCTGCTGTCTTGATGTAATGCCCCGTAGTTCCTGTGTCAGAAATGGTCAATACTCATATTCTATGACACTGATATGTTTATGGGCCCCTGTCAGTCTCCTCTTCCACAGGATGATGGATCCCACTTCACTTAGCCTTTTCTCATATGGAAGATGTTCCACACTTTTGAGCGTCCTTTTGGTCTCCTCCACAGCTTTTTCTGACTTTGCAATAGCTTCGGTAGGGGGAAGCGAGAAATGCACTTAGTTTTCAAGACAAGAGTGCAACACAGGTTTAGACACTGGTGTAATAAAGTAGCATGCTCTCACTTTTTTTCTGATTTGTTTTGGTGTGCTGGTTATATACTTCTTAGGGCCTAAAATCATCGGAAATATTAATTAAATTTTTAGTCAGACTCGTCCAATTTATCCTCAGGACTTTGGAGTCCTGACTTCGTGGGATTTCAGTGGTTCACAGGCTGGCTATAGTCACTAGCGAGCATCATCTGAACACACCTGGCAATTAGGATACCCCACGCGACGCGGCGTACAAGGAAGCGCTGAGCCGATCGGCCATTTCCTTGCCAGGCATACACAGAATCACAGAATCACAGAATAGTAGGGGTTGGAAGGGACCTCTGTGGGTCACCCAGTCCAACCCTCCCGCCGAAGCAGGGTCACCTACAGCAGGCTGCACAGGACCTTATCCAGGCGGGGGTTGAATCGCTACACGCCACGAGAC